GCCCCCCACTCCGTCCCCTCCCCTCCTAGACAGCCCGGCGCAGAGGCCAGGCTCTCAGCGCCGCTCCCCCACCTCTGCTGCTAATAACGGCGCTGTCCTTCCGGCCCCCTCCCATTTTATTAGAAATTATCCTTTTCGCAATTAAACATAACCACCACACCAAGATCAGCGAAGTCACGCCAGGATTTTTGCCCAAGAAAAGGTCGCCTCCGCCGGGGCAGCCACCACCTCGGGCCGCGGAGCGCTGGGAGTTTTATTGGCTTTGTGCTTCACCCCCAGGTCGGAGGTTTTGCCAAACGGCCTCCGTCGCTCGGCTGGGGTTTGCGATTCTTTAATTGCCGCGTGTAAAATAAAAATTGTACCCTGAAGAGGTTACTTGACAGCTCCAGGAGTTAAATGATTTTCCTCCCGTTTGTATGAAGCCAGGGCCGAGTGATAACTCAACGTGGTGTTTGGACTGAGGGTTTCCTGGGCGGGCTGTGGACAAGGACACGGAACTCCTAGAGAGGCTCCAGTCCTTCTGGAGTTGAGCCGGAATACTGACATGTGTGCACTTGCATGCATCAAAATAAGTCGCTGGGAACCAACTCTTCGCTGTGCTAATCTGCTCCAGTTTTCCCAAGATTCTCCTTTTTAATTAAAGCAGGGAGAGTTCCTTCATGATTTGGTGATGTTGCCCACGCGGGTGGGCGCGCTCGGGGCGCAGTGCCCGGCTGTCCCGGAACCCCAAGACCGGCCAGCCATTCCCTCGACCAGGTTGGCCGGTCTAGGCTCTCCCCTTCTACACAGGGGCCTGCTCACCCCAGGGCTGTATTTTTTCTTCAGTTTTAGAAAAATTTTTAAAGAGGAAAGAAAAAACAAAGACTGATACTCAAAAGACAGAGTAGTCCGTTTCTCTGGCTGAGCTTGTTAATAGCCCTCCACAAAAAAGTTTCTTTCTCCCGCTTGAATACCGAAAACTCCCCAACAACAGTAGGTCTGCCTCAGAGCTGCTCCACTAGCGACCTCAGATCCCCTCTGGCCCTGTTTCTTGACAACCCCTAAGCCTCCCGGATTTCCACAGTGTCCTCAAAGCAGGGTAGAGGCTGTTGAAAATCGGAGCTTTCTCTAACAGGTGGAAGAAGGCGGAGGAGAGGGGACCCCTCCCCGCAAGCCTTGCGGAAGGGCAATTCTCCCCCCGGGGACCGCAACAAATTTCCCAAGCCAGGCAGAGTGGGCCAGAGGCCCCCCAAAAGTTAGAAAGAAGACTAGAGCTACAGGGGAGATTTAGACCCGGAGCGACTCCCTCCCCACATCTGAGCGCTCCCCTGCCTTTCCTCCCTGCTCCCCGCCTCAGAAGACCAGCATAGTCTCTGGGCTGAGCCCGGCTTGGGGGAACCCCAGGCACCTTACTCAGGAAAGGGTCAGCTCTAGTGCGGGCACACTCGCCCTCCGGGGCTGCCCCGGGGTTCACTTTAAATGGGGAGATGGGCCGCTGGCAGAACTGACACCTTCCCAGCCGGGGCAGCAGACGCAGAGCGTGATCTGTAGGCCAAACCCCAGGCCTGGGAGCATGGATTTTCCACCCCTACACTGCGCTACCGCGTGTTTAGAGGAACTCTTGTTTCGCTTTCTTTCTTTCAGTTTGCGGCCTGGGGAAGGCAGAGGCCCTTCATCTTTTCAACCAGCCCCTCTAGCTGCTCCGCACCCCGCCGACCTCCGGCTCCGCACCAGCCAGAGCTGCTAAACTGTTGTTGTATTCCCGCCGAGGGCGCCTTTGTGGTGCAGATTGGGGCCTGGGGGCTCAGCGCCTCCGCCAGAGTTCTGGACACCAAAGAAAGGCTGGGGCAAGCACCCCGTCACCCCTGGAGCCAGCGGAGGGGCCTGAGAGTGCGCGCCATTACCACCACAAGTCGCTTGTTTGCATGTCAATGGTCCCGCCTAGCTGGCACCCCAGGACGGCAGCGCCAGGCCTAGGGTTAGGGGGTCCAGGCCAGATTTGGGGCCGTGGAGAAACTAAGAGCAAGTATCTGTGTGAGAGACAGAGATACGGAGAGAAACAAAGAGACAGCGAGAGGCCAGAATGACTCTATTTTCTCCCGTTGTCACTACCCAGTAGGACCCAGCAGCCTAACAGGACAACCCCAGAGCATCCCACTCCCCCGGACCCCAAATCCTCAGCGCGGCACTCAAGATCCAGGCTTCCCACCGCTTGCCAAACAGTGAGCCCGCAGGAGCCAGGCCCTGGGCTCACTCCTTTCCCCTTCAGGCTGTAAGCTTACTGCTTCCGGACCTCGGCTGGGCCTACTGGAGGCCTAGACTCCGGCCCAGCCTTCACTCCCAGCGCCTTCTCGCCACCAAGGAATTCAGAATTCTGCAACAAAGTTCTTCCGGCTTGAGGAGAAAGCCTAAACACCTCTGCCAAAGAACTTCCCTAATCTTCACCCCCCAGAGAAGAGAATGAAGAAGAGCCCTGAGGCCCACAGGGACAAGGGAAAGAAAGGTGTGCTACCCCAGGATTTGTATTTGGTGTGAGATTTGAATCTCTAAACCACAAAGTTAGTCTAACTTTGGGGATGACATTTTATTTAGTGAGATTTACCTGGTGGGGAGAGGTATAAGAGCTCACGGTTGATTTTAAAAAAAGTGTATGGAAATAAATTAGTATTGAGAGATGACTTCCTTTCCCCAAACTCCAATGAATGCAGTGAAGACAGGACTTCTCTGAACTTTTATTGGCCCAAATGTGAAACAAGTGGAAGAACTCCACCCGCAAGGAGTAGGCCTCGCCTTTTCTTTGGGACGATCAGGGCGTTTGGTTCCAATGGCACCGCAAACTTTTAGGCACATGGAGCCTCGCCCTAACCAAGCCTTGCTTTGCAGGGGCAGAAAAAAGGGCCCTGGGGTTCCCATTATGAAATCGGAGACAGGAGAGAGGCTGCTGCCCTCACCAATCTGGCCAGAGCCGCCCTGGTTCCCACAGGGAACAGCCTGGAAGTCAGGACAGCTCTGGACGAATGCTCCGGACGCCGGGTCAGGTCGTGGCTCGGGGCGGGCAGGAGCCGGAGCCTAGCTGGCCTTGCGGCGCCGGAGGCGTTGATTTCGGAAAATTTTAGATCTTCTGCCTCATCGCCCACCATTCACACACACCCGCATCCAGTCTCCCCAACAGGAGCCCAAGAAGCGAAAACTGGCTTCAGGAAGCGGACTGAGTGAGCAGCTGAACTTAGCGCAAACTCTTTGAAGTATTTCCCCAAAGAACACGTTCGCCCCGCGAACCTTCTTCCACCTGGACCCCTTTCCCTTCGCTACATCCCCTAGGTCCCCACAACGTGGAGACACGCGGAGAGACAGGTGCACCAGAACCCCTCTTCACGCGCAACCCTGGGGTCTGGGACAAGATCGAAGGCGTAGCGAGCAGGGAAGCCTCCTCATGGCGCACCACAACCCCCGCCCTGCACCCTCCCTCCTCCTGAATTAGTCATCCAGCCCCGTTTCTACTGAGGGGGGTGGGGAGGTGGCTGCATTACTAACTACAAGTGACCCCACCCCCGGAGGCCACTGTGAGAGCGTGCCGGACCTTCCCCAGCGC